TCTTCCGATCTTTGTATAACGAGGAAAGTTTATTCGAAAATGAAGCAGAATTTGACGATGACATCTACATTGAAGGAGGACATGGCGCCGCCGAATTTGAACAGAATTTGCAACATGAAAATAATCTTATAATGTTCGATGAGGCTGGCCTCACAGTATCGGACGTATTACTGATGATTTTCGGCTATTGTTTGCGGTTTAATGCGACTTTTGAAGGGAAAAAAGCTCTTATTGAACTCGTTAAAAGATTAGCAGGCCCAAAATTCGAACAATGGAATGTGAGCCCGTACACATTGTCGAAACTATATAATCCGCCAAAAGAAAAAATAATGATACACTATTACTGCATTTCTTGTAATAAGAACATATCGACCGTTTCCTTTAAAAATAATATGGGCACAATGGAATCTATCTGTTTGACATGCAGTAAACAGTACATTCTCAATACAAACTGTGATAATTATTTTGTAACAATAGATATAGAGTATCAAATTCAACAGCTTTTAAATAGAAAAGAGATTCAAAGATGTCTTTTGGAAAATATGAAAAACGTAAAAAATGTAAACAATAATGAAGACATCGTGATGCATGACGTTTACGACAGCCAATTGTACACCATAATACAAAAGAGCGTTCCAGGATCATTGACTATCAATTTCAGTACGGACGGGGCGCCGTTGTTTCACAGTTCGAAAAGAAGTTTTTGGCCTCTGCAGATAATAATAAATGAACTACCACCAAAAATTCGTTTTCAAAATATTATTTTAGCAGCCATGTGGGTAACAAAAACCGAACCAACTGCAAATTTTATGAACCTTTTTTTAACGCACTTCGTAGAAGAAATAAATCGCCTAAGAGATAACGGAATTCGGTTGAAGCATTACAAGACTGGCCAAAGCATGCTATTTAAATTATCACCACTTTGTGCATGCGTCGATTCTGTTGCAAGGCCAGTAATGCAAAATCGACTTCAATTTAATGGCTACAATGGATGTAGCTGGTGCTATATTTCAGGATTTTATGATTGTCGTGCAATTCGTTATCCTATATCTGAACAGGATGACCAATTACGAACGCATGAGAGTCATCTTATGGATATGCAAAAGGTTATCAATTGCCAACATCGGGATATACGGGGAGTGAAAGGATTATCAATTCTTGCAACTGATATGCCCCATTTTGACAGCATTTGGGGATTTCCAGTTGACGTGATGCATGGAATATTACTTGGACCAGTGAAACAACTATGGGAAGCTTGGACAACTCCTGGAAGTTCATATTATTTAAATCACGCAAAAAGAAAGGCTATTAATGAACGCATCAGAAATATCCGAGTTCCGCATGAAATACATAGGTTACCGCGAAGTACTTCTGAAATTAGCAAGTGGAAAGCTTCAGAAAGATTATATTGGGCACTATATTATAGTTTTCCTTGTCTGTACGGAATTTTAGCTGATCGCCCTTTGAAGTCTTTCATGCTTTTGATTCGTAGCCTTTACACCCTGTTGAAAACTGAAATCACAGAAGCAGAATTGCGGAGTACTGAGTATGATCTATTGCAATTTGTAGGGGAATGTCAGATATTGTACGGGACATCTGCAATGACATTTAATGTACACAGTTTACTGCATGTTGTACAATCTGTGAAAAAAAGCGGACCGTTATGGGCAACATCTGCCTTTCCATTTGAAAATGGAATTTATTTATGTAAAAAATGGCTGAATGGGCCGAGAATTGTAAGCATTCAGCTTAGTACGAAATGGCTGCAGTCGGTAAGCTACCAATCTTCTGTATCTGCTTCGTCAAATAATATAACGTGCACAGATTATTGCAGAAATATATTATTTCACAAACAGAATTTGAACGTTGAAAAATGTAACGTTGAGCTACTAGGCGCATCCGATGATCCACAAGACTACGATAAATATCTCATATCTTTGGTTGTAAACAATTTAAATGCAAAACCAAAATTATTCAGCCGTTGTAAATTTAAGAATGCAATATTTCACGGCACATCGTACTCCAGACGCACGAGAAATGACGATAGTATAGTAATGTTAAATTGTAACAAAATTATTCAAATTCGCTTATTTGTTCACGTCAATGGAAAATACTTTGTGATAGCAGCTCCTCTTACTACTACACCAGTAACAAGTCCTATTAAATTACCACACATGGCAGAAATACTCGAAGTAGGAAATGATTTTCAAATGTATGACATTGATGCCATAAAACGGAAACTCGTAATTGTCGACATAGGATGTAATAAATATATATGCTCAATGCCAAACAACTACAACGTTCAATAGAGTTCATTCATGACTCAGGTGAGAATCGCAATTTCATATTCTAAATATTATTGGCAATCATATTACACCAAGTTTGCACAAGTACTCGTTCACTGTTCAGTGTAACAACAACAATAATAATTAAAAAATAATAATAACAATACTAATAATGATAATAATAATACAAACTGTAACAATTATAATTTATAGATATTACGAAGATAGAAAAGTTAACACCGTCATGCTGAACGCTCCCAAACAGATTTCAGGAATTACTTTCTTGTTGAGATCAATAGTGCACAATGTACGGATAAATAATTAATAGACGATAACTATATTTTATAGTGACGTAATTGTATGATCAAAATATATGACACTAATGGAAAAACATAATACGTATTTCTGTTTATTTTTCCACGAAGAAGCTTATAGCGAATTCGATTGAACGCACTTAATGCACATTAATGCTGTTGTACATTGTTCTAATATCAATGTAAAAGTAAAATATCTTTATATTAAACACACATTTTTACGTCGATTTGTGTATGTACAACGGTTTTAATATGCACTGAATGCACATTAGTCCAACCGTATTCGCTATTCGTATTCATTATTTGAATGAGATAATCAGTTCCCGATATTATTTTAAAATTTAGAGTCACTCAATGTTTATATATTTAACAATATCATTTGTGACTTAACTCTGTTGGAGAATTACAAGAAAGCAGTATCAAGTTTTGTGAAATCCATGAATTTTAGCTAGCTGTACAATTAAAAATTAAATTACAAAAATGAATATTGCCACTAACTTTCGAGATTTAACCGCGTCGTGCAATTTGTGAAACATTCTAAACATTGTTGTTTAATGCTTCCTTAAAGCTGGGTGGTCTTTTTGATATTGATGGTCAGTATAAGATATAATATATATACATGAAACGCTCATATGTACAATAAAACTCGCTGAAACTTGCTTTCGGAGTTTCTGTATTGAATTTTCGTACTTTTCATGTTTCAGGATAATCGCGATAATAACAGAAAGAAAATCGACAATGAACGTAGTAAATCCGTGACGTCCAATAAAGTTACGAAAAAGGTAATTGTGAGTTCAAATGTTCATTCTGATATTAAAGCAAGGAAAATGTAATTATGCATTTAAACATCGAATACTGCTTAGTGACAGTGCAACGAAATGAAATTATTAATTCACAGCATTTTTTATCGAAGCCTATATTGCGTATAAAAACTTCCACAAAAGAGAAATGTAAAATTGTTACAGCATTTCTCTTGTAATCAACTGTACTAGGGCTATATTGACTTGAAATTTAATATATACATTCTGAAGACATTAAACTACTATAAGCTTCCGTAAAAAATATCGATATTTTGGATTACAAAAAGAGAGTTTAAGAGATACGAACTGTATGGTTGCAAAATTTTGAAATAATTACAGTTAATAAGTTTAATTACCTTCGAGATCAAGTTGCATTTCATAAAAACAATGTTCTTTTCTTACAGAAAAAAATAACGAAATATTTCAACAAAGAAATACGTTGTTATTAACAATTCCCCACAATATAAATTTCCAAAAATGATTGCAAAGGAGCATCGATGATTCAATTGCAATGTACGATAGCTTATTTACCTCGTGAATATATTCTCTAAAGTTCAAGAAACATATATGAATGATCAATATTATTACTAATTTAGAAAATAATTAAAGCTTATTTTTATTTGGAAATTTATAAATAATTTTATATTAAATGCTTTATTTCTTAAATGAGAGAATATCGATTATTCGTTTCTCAAAAATGTCACGAGGTAAATAAGCTGTCGTACATTAACATTGAATCGATACTTCACTGCAACCATTTTTAGTTTCGAAAATTTGTATTGTGGAGATAATAATAACAACGTATTTCTTTGTTGAAATTTTCCATTATTTTTGTCTGTAAGAAAGAAACATTGTTTTTATGAAATATAGCTTCATCTTGAAGGTAAGCTTTATTAATTGTAATTGTTTAAAATTTTTGCAACCACATAATTTCCTACCTCCTAAACTCCCTTAGGAAACTTCAATGTGTAATTTTTCTTCTGGGTTATGTGATTTGCTTTTATATTGTTTCAAATTAGATATCAGAAGTGATGACTTACTTGTATACAGGAAGAAGTTATGAGTTTAAGTATATTATTGCAGGATTCTCCGTGTGAAAGAGGAATAAAAAAAAATATTGTTATTGACAAAGAAAATGACGATGTCAGAAAAGGAATTACGCCATTGCCTAAGAAAGGAATGGATATAAAGAGCAATGAAAATACCACAAAAAGGGAACTGGTACGCTCATATAATAAGTATTTTTAAGTTTGTACAGTAATTTCTTTACATACAATGATATTGTTTCTCATAGATATAATTAATTATCGACCCATTTCAGGCAACACTGTTTTGCTTATAGTGTTCATTTTGTAATATTTTCTGTACATTTTTCGAGATATTTGACTAGTTTACGCACAAGGTGTTATGTATCTATAGAGCATTCAAGAGTATAATAGAGTAAAATTTGAAATTTTTTGTATGTAAATTTGTGTACTCATTTTTTTGTATTAAACGTAAAGTAATGGAACCTAAAAACATATGCATAGATTTGAGAAAGTGTAATAATAAAATAATTTATAAGAAAATATTAATAATATTGACCACTGTAGTTTCTGAACAACTTATCTGAAATAAAAAATAGAAAAAATTGTAAATATGATACACAAATTGATTCCTGACGTTTCCAAATATTAAATAACCACTTTGTAACAAAGTTGTGACTAATCGGAAAAAACAAATATTTTTCGCTCTACAATATATTTGAATTACGTATTTGTAGTGCCAAAATAAAAGACGCGTTTCAAATTTTAATAATGGCTCCCAAGTATATGAACATTTGGTGCCACAATTGTACAATTTAACAAATGTACTGTTGTAAAAACATAAATGTGACATTTATTTATCAGCGCGTCTAGATGCATAACACCATTTCCGATGTGACACACTGTGTCTGTGTATTATATTAAAAAGTGACAAATCTCGCGCCTGAAATGAGTTAACATAATTGAATTAAAAGTTATATACTTTACGAAATATGGGTTTTTGTCAATTGTGGCTAGTATACTATTTTCGTTATCTTGTTAATTAAGAATTTTATTAATTAGGATGATACATCGTTACCGAGCAGCATCAAAAAACCAAGAATAATTGAAACGATGATAATAAAGAGTGCTTCACCCAAGTTACTGGAAAGAAAATCAAATGCGCTGGTATTAATTTCCTATAATATACATATAAATTTTATAATGCTGCTGTCGATGCCGTGAAATAAAGTTGTGTGTATGAATTGCAATGGGATAGTAAACGAAATGCATGAAAACTGATAAAGTGGATGTTTGGCTTTATCGTATGGTAATTTCACACGATCATGAATTAATCGAATCGAATGACACGTCGAAACAAATTGCAGTTTTGGGGCTAAAAACGAACACAAAAAAAAATATACGGACGAATATACTTAAGGTGGTCGTGCAGTATAGAAGGTAAAAAATAAGTGACTTTTGGAAATTTTTATCTCGAAAACTATTCGTCGGACAGCTTATCGTTTTTGCAGATTTGTTTATTAGCAAGCAAAGAATGTGTATAAATTTTAACACTTAAAAAGAATTATTTCTTACAAAGACATTAGACAGCGCGCAAAGCGCGGAAAAAATGGCTTACGTTTTAGTCATAAAACAAACAATACAAATACTTTCTTAATCTGTATAAGTGCGGCTAATACAAGAACCAGAATTTTAAATAACAAAAAAATTTTTAATGGCGTTTTAAGGGCAAGGTTTGATTTTTTATTATAAATTTTCAACTTTGACGTATATATTAAAAATTAGTTATTTTTAAACTATCAACCAAAGCCGGTTTCTGTAATAAAAACAGGTTTATTGTATATAGATATGATTCAAATTTGAAGTCGAAGAATCGATTCAATCGTTTTCGAAATATCATGATAAAAAAATTCAAAACATAGTTTTCAGTGCGTAAAATTATATATTTTGATGACGGATAAGGAGGTCTGCACTGGAAAAAGATCAATAACGTCGGTAATTTTTCAAATATCTTAATGCGACAGCGTTAATTATAATACTCGTAAAGGTTAATGCTTTAATAAAATGTAAAAAAATAAAATCAATTTTTTAAAAATTTCTAGACTAAACGATCCTGTAACGCAATATGATTTCAGATTACTGGAACGCAGAGACCGTCCATCAAACCGGCGAATGATCCAACACTAGATAGAACGTTGGAAGACTTACGAAAGCAGTATGCTGCGGAGAAGAAAAAAGTGAAGCAACTGAATACCGCTTTAGAGTTGGTCAAGGTTGAAAATGATAATTTAAAAGCAATGAATGTGGAGATGACGGGACTGAATATAGAATTGCAGAAAACTGTTATCAGTTATGTAAAACAATTGACAGGTACGCAAGATGTCCGAAATTATTGTGTATGGTTGTTTAACTTTAGAATATATAAGCAATATATTACATTTATCACGTACAGAAGGGGATAACAATGCTGTACTACTGAACCCACAGGAGAACATTATTAATGCTGTTCCGTCAGTGGGGTATGTACGCCAACATGACAAGAAGGTGAGGTAATCCTTAATATGTATGCACATGTATAGCTATTTATTTTCCATCTCCTTTATGCTCCATATTTTACAGATCCATCTAGGCGAAGGAGTCTGGATTGAAAAGGGACAGTACGATTTGTGTACTTATCACGCCAAAAACAGTTATCAATTGTTTGTAAAAGATTTAGCACTGTCCGTATTTGGGCCAGAAGTACTGAAAAATAGCAGCGTGACAGGCTCAGCATCACGCAAAAATCCAAACAAGCCAGCTTTCCCCAGACTCGATCCAGTAAAGCTTACGGCCATTCACAGTAAGATTATTATAATGCGAATACAAGTCGAAAATGAACATCATACTTATGGCTCCTGACTAATTGCAGCGTCCATATTGGAAACGTGACGTCAGAAGCGAAAAATGACACGTTACCACATTAAAGTTTCTTGCGTGCCATTTCTAAATAAGGAAAATTTGGATAAAAAATAACAATAGGATCGTTATAAAACACTTCTAAAAATGGGCGAAAACTATCTTTTTCTTCCTTATACAGTCAGTAAATAGTCGTAAAAGACACGTGAAGTGAAGCCTATTTCAAACAGAAAACACACGATTTGATAGCTGTTGAAAGAAGTGAAAAATATGCTTTTACATATAAAATTCAAAGATAACTAGTTTTTGCTCATTTTTACAAATTTGATAAATACGAGACAAGTCACATATTTTCACAATTAAGCACATAATAACAAAATGGCACGCAAGACAAAATTTCAACACTTTTCACGCTAAGGCCCGTTGTACAATACGTCGTACGTGGATATCGTAAGCCATAAAGCGGCGTCTACAATGAGACTTAAAACTTAAGATTTAAGAAAATTGACTAATTAGAATAGATTATTTTTCTCATTTAAGATGAATAATCGACTGTGATTGGTCAATTTTTTTAAATCTTAAGTTTTAAGTCTCATTTTAGACGACGCTTTAAGAGTTGACCAATTACAATTCGAATATTCTCCTCACATTCGACTGTGATTGGTCAATTCATATGGTTTATGGCTTACGACATCACATACGACGTATTGTTGAACGGGCTTTAGTTCGATAGATAAGATTCTAATTCCTACCGCGATCCGGTGTCGCCACCGTCAACGCAGAGTTCTATTCGGCCACCCAAGTGCCCCCGTGCACCCCCGTCGTCCGTTCGCCTCGATAGCGGAGAATTTTCGGCGCCGGAGGTAAACGCGGCGAAAGCAACACGCCGCGCGAAAGCAACACGCCGCGCGGGACTTAGAAAATTTTCGGTTCGGGTCCGGAGGTAAACCTGGCCGATTGACGCTTTGCTTCGCCGCTGGCGCCCTTAATATTACGTCGATTCGCTTGCTCGCACGTCTATTCGGCCACCCGAGTGCCCCCGTGCACCCCCGTCGTCCGTTCGCCTCGATAGCGGAGAAGTTTTGGCGCCGGAGGTAAACGCGGCGAAAGCAACACGCCGCGCGAAAGCAACACGCCGCGCGGGACTTAGAAAATTTTTCGGGTCGGGTCCGGAGGTAAATTTGGCAGATCGACGCTTCGCTTCCCCGCTGGCGCCCTTAATATTACGTCGATTCGCGTGCCCGCACGTCTATTCGGCCACCCGAGTGCCCCCGTGCACCCCCGTCGTCCGTTCGCCTCGATAGCGGAGAATTTTCGGCGTCGGAGGTAAACGCGGCGAAAGCAACACGCCGCGCGGGACTTAGAAAATTTTTCGCTCTGTCGGGTCCGGAGGTAAACCTGGCCGATCGACGCTTCCCCGCTAGCGTCCTTAATATTACGTCGATTCGCGTGCCCGCACGTCTATTTGGCCACCCGAGTGCCCCCGTGCACCCCCGTCGTCCGTTCGCCTTGATAGCGGAGAATTTTTGGCGCCGGAGGTAAACGCGGCGAAAGAGTCGACAAGGCACACAGGGGATA